AGATATGGTCAATACTCGATCACTTAATCTGATTCTTATTTTAGTAATGAAAAGTCTTGCTACCGAGAATGCCCTTTCCAATTCAATTGATGTGATTGGAATCGTGTTTAATGCGTTTACGAGAAGACAGATATTGTGTGTTTTTCATCTGTAGCCTGGAAGATTTCTAGTTCGTTTTGAGATTGTAGTACTGAGTACTACAATCTCAAAACGAACTACTTCTTTTGCTCTCTAGTATTCTTGATTTGTCTACCTCGACTGCTTTAATAGAATCATCATAGCCCAATAATCTGGTAGTTCGTTTGCCTTTAATAATCAGGTTTATGAAGAAAAACTTCAGATTTCGTACTCGTTTGTATCCTTGCCTAATTGCACAACCTGGCGTTACGCATTTATTCAAGCTACTAGGCATGGTTAAAAATTAAGACAGCGTAAGCACAATTATTCCAGATATTACAGGTTCTGACAAGTAAAGAATTTTCAGAGTACTGCCACAAATAAGCTACGTATTAATTATTGACCATTTGTGACATGCCATAACGAGCACAAATTAAAAAAAAACTAATAAGTAGGTTTAAAATTAATTAATTAATAAACAAATACAAATGTATTCTGACAGTTTATGAGTTAATTATGCTTTTTATTTGCAAAATTTCCTCAACCTTAACACAAAATAAGAAAAAAGTGAATTTTTAAGAAATTTGCGGGATTTCCTGGGATAAGAAAAATTTCCCGGGTTAAAAAACAACCGGGAGTATGAGCTCACCTGGAAAGTATTCGAATATATAGAAAAGTTCTCATTAAGGAGACCTTTTCCGAGTGGAATATTTTTCAATTCTTGCATTCAAATACTGTACTCTCATTTTTAGTTATAATAGCTTTGGATTAATTCTGATTAGACCTAGTAATATTTTTCCACTTTACGTAAAAGCGATTTTATTACTGTATTTAAAAAATGAACGTGGCATTTATCTGGTATAGTTCAAAAGGGGAGAAAATACAAAAACCTGTTCTAAGAGAACAAAAAATATATAGATAAAGTGTATATTTTACTCACTTTATTTATTTACAATTTACACGTTATTTACAATTTTTGAAATTATTTGTATATACTCACACACAGTAAATAAAAATCTGTCTATTTATTGTCAAACACAGTTATATCATTAAATTATAAATTATTGAAATATATTATTANAAAATTATAATTTTCCTCTAATAAGAACTAACAATAATATGGAAATTTAAATTATATCATTATGCTTCAAATAAATCATTAATTAAATCATAAAATCATTAGATCAAAACTATAAATCAATACAATCATATGATATGCTTTGCATTCAATTCTATATTCCACAAACAATAATAATATTCTATGTCCATTACTAGTGTTTATAAAAGATTTTTAAAATACTTATTAAAAAATATTATAGTGCAAAATTCTATGAAGTATTAATTCAATATTACTACTGAAAGAATTTTTTTTGTTATTAGGCCATTTTATTGCTAAGTCTCATAATATTTTCAACAAAACTGCTTTATTATGTTAATTTGTAATTATAACATATAAGCATTTTCTATATTAAATCTAGGCTAAATAATAAAACATTTTAAAAGAGTGCCAAACATAGCAATATGGTCTGATTTTTATCACCCATGTAAAATCTTTTATAAGTTACAATAAAGATTATATAATTAGTAAATTTAATTTATGACTAAATTCCAATATTTAAAACTAATAGTTTAACAACACTGCTAAATGGAAAAGGCCTGTCACGTCAAGATGTGATAAGCTCTTCCCATTTAGCAGAGTTGTTAAGTTATTAGTTTTAATGTAGATTTGGGAGCTACAAAACATACTCATTTTAGTCCAATATTTAAATCCAAGAAAATTCTACTTTATTCTCACAATAAAGGAAACTTTCCTTGGCAATACACATATTTTTTTGAAGATTTTATCCTATCATATTTTGAAAGCATTAAAATATATTACAACAGAACCTTGATTTAACAGACTAACTGTCAAATGGAGTATCCACTAATGCTGAGTCTATTAAATTGGATGTATTTTAAAAAACACATTAATTAATAACAAACATATTATGGCAGAATGTTTTAAAATTTTGTTACAATATATAAGTACAAAGAAATTATTATTATAATGTACAATATATTGAGTAATTTATACCTCATTCTCATTGATCTGTTCATCCAGAAATATTTAGAATAGATATTTTTGTCTGCTAAATCCAGTCCAGTAAATTCTATACTGTTATATACTATTTACTTACAATATATATATATATAAATTATAAGTAACACAAATTATTATTTACTTTTATATCATTTATATCACTTTAACTATTAAGTTCATGAATTTACACTTAAAGAATTAAATAACTAAGTACAAAGGAAAAATAAAAATAAACAATGTAAGATATAAATTATTTAATACAGATAATTATATTTAAGAATAAAACTAATTGCTCAATTTATCAGAAAAAAATACCTTTCCAATGACAACAGTTTGCATAATTTATCAACTTCCTGTAAATGATCAACTTTTTCACTATCATTTTCAGCAAAATAACCAGATGATTCACATAACTGATGTAAAGTCTTCCTTTCTTTTTTGATCATCTTTTTATGAGCTTCTTTTTCTTTTTTTTCCTTCTCCCTATATAATTTAACATTTTCAATTATCTTTTTGCCCATTCTTTCATGTCACCCCAATTACTCCCAACACGAATTTTGACAGGCAATTTAACAGAAAGAGAAACAGCACTTTCCATTCCTTCCTTAACTATGGCATAAACAGGTTCTATGTCTTCTTCCTGCACTTCATATATTAATTCATCATGAAGTTCTAAAACCAGGTAACCTCCACGCAAAAGACTTCTATTAGGTTCTTCTTGTATCTTATGATCTAATAAAATTCATTTGATATATTTCATGCATAAAACAATTTGAAAATGTTTAAAAAAACTAAATATTTAATACCTGAAAACAGATACTGATGTGGTCTTTTTGTCTCAGGATAAATGGCTTCCATTTTTTCATTTATTTTAATCATTGCAATCTTAATTAAATCTGCAGCAGATCCTTGAATGATAGTATTTATGGCTTGTCGCTCTGTTTTGGCACGAACATGAGCTATTACACTGTTGATAGATGGTAGATATCTTCTTCTTCCATACAAAGTTTCAACAAATCCGTGTTTACGGCAAGCATTCACCACAGATTCGGTATACTTTTTTATACCTGAAAATAATGACTTTTATAAAATATATCACTAAAAATCATAATTATACTTAATATTAGAGTA